ATTTAAAATAAAACATAAATTAATTTAGGAAAAAGATTAACTCGAAATCATGCCAAAAGGTAAGATTCTGAAAATAGTTATGTACTTTATTACCGAAATAGTTTTGGTATTTGGATTACAGTAGATATGTTTCAAAATATTGACGATATACAGGGTGTTTTATAAACATACGGCAAAAATTGAAGGGGTTCCCTGGACTATTCTAATAATATTTTGTCCTCTGATGATTGTTGAAAAGCCGCTTTGTTCCGAAAATACAGGGCGAGACAACATTTTATTACCGAAAATTACATGTAAAGCTTCTTAATTTACAAGAACTGTTGAAAACGATCCAGCTGGGATGCAAGAATCAAATCTTATTTTCATTGGCTGCCGAACTCTTTTAAATACACCAGGGTCGTTTCTTATTGAGTTACACCCAGCAATTATCCGATTTCTTAAATCTTCCACATTTTCCAGTGGAGTAGCATAAACTAAAGTCTTTAGATGGCCTTAAAGGAAATAATCCAGAGGGTTTAGTCGGGGAATCGAGCAGGCCTTAAGTCAGGTTCACCTAGACTAATCCAGCGATCTCCATATGTTACTGTTAAGAACTCACGAGCAACAAAACTAAAATGTGCTGGTGCATCACCGTGCATAAACCACATTCAATTTCTTGTTGCCAATGGTACATCCTCCAGAAATTGAGGTAGCGTTTGTTCCAAAAAATTGCGATACACCTTGCCGGTAAGTCTGAAACGTTCAATGACAAACGATGTCTAAAACGATCTTCAAGTACCTCATGTGGATTTTCTTCAGCCCACACAATTTTTGTGTATTTTGAAGAAAAGAAGCTGATCGAAAAGAGAGAAAATTCTGGTTCCTCTGGTTATGTACAAAAAATGCTTTATGATGATGAACTTGAATGATGAACAGTTATCAGAGGAGAAGTTCAAGCCAGTATGAAGAGGAAAATATACAGGGTGTAACGGATGCTGATGGCCAAACTTCAGGGGGTTATTATAAAAGTAATTTTCAACAAAAAGTAGTATAAGATTTTTTTGGAAAGTTGATAGTTGCTCTTTTATTTAACATTTTTTGATTTCAAAAAGAAATCTAGAAAATACATTAAATGCAGAGGCATTTCTTGATCTTCTTCAGAACGAACTGCATAATATATTAGAAGAGGTTCCTTTAAATTTTCGGATTAATTCCTGGCTTCAAATGGATGGTTGCCCTGCACACAACAGCAGGGAGATTCGGGCATGGCTAAACGAGCATGATGTAGATGTAGAAGTTCTGATCTAACTCCGTTAGACTTCTTTTGGTGGGGTAGATTAAAATCTTTAGTATATGAAGTACCAATTGACACTCGAGAACAGCTCGAACAAAGGATTTTTGCTTGTTGGGAGCTACTTCGACAGCAAAATGGAGAAGTGCGTCGCACAGTTGCTTCCGTGCGGAGAAGGTGCGCTTTATGTATCCGTCAAGGGGGAGGTTACATCGAAAATTATTAAGTCATTGTAAATATGTTACTAAGTTATAAATAATTTTTTCAACAATTTTGTTACTTTAATTTAAAAAAGCAGTCTTAAAATAAAAATAAAGTACTATAAAGTTTGTGTATTTTCGATTTTTACGGTGTTTATTACCTTTGCCCTTGATATTGTTGCCAAAAAAAAATAGTAAACTCAAAAGTTGATATATCGTTGAAGAGCTTACTAAATACAGTAGTTTTTGCTGAAGAAAAAACACGTCCTCATTAACAAATTTTTGGCGTTACCACCAATAAGGAGATACCACTAATTTTGCTCATTTCACAATTATTACATTTAACTTTTTACAGCACCTGGTATAGTAGATTTTTTAAACAGTCATATATGCTCGTCTTGTAGTAAATTTAATGC